ACCATGACATATGCTAATATCTAAACAATAACCCAGGATTAAAGTTTTACCAGTCTTTGCTATAAAATATTAAAGCTGTCTAATCTCATATCTTTGCATATGTAACCAAGGCAAATGAAAATGCCAACAGCAATGGCAGGTTATGACTATTTCAAAGTAAAGCCAAACATTTACAATGCTTTTTCATGTACTTCTTATATATAATATATATATATAAAGTTCTAAAACTTGTTATTTTATTCCTTTGATAGCTTGAGATGTTGCAGTGTAGTGAATATTTAATATCTCTTCTAGCCAAAGTCTGTAATTCCCACCAAACAACATTTTTGCCTTGCTGGGTCTAGGTAAGAGAAACTGAGAGAAGATTCTGATATAATTATATGATTCAGATGCGAGTGATTAGCAGAGCTAATTGTGATTGTAAAAACGTGGAACTCAAATGTATGAAAAATGAGCCAATTCAGAAGCCGGAGAAGGGATCATGCTACCATCAGAGAAGAGGCTGGAGTGGGCTGAGCCCCTCCATTGGACCCTGAAATCCCTGAGCACTGAACTTCCTTAACCCAGAGCCAGCAAGTTGTGACACTGGAGGAGCAGCAGAACCCAGAGACAGAGCAGCGGGCTTCCCAGTCCACAAGCAGGTAAAGCTGAGTGACTGGGCAGGAGGCTTGCTTGTAGAGCAGGAGGCCTTCAGGACAGCGAGGCTGCCTAACCCACGGAACTAGAGCCAAGTGCCTTCTGCTGAGGCATACGGTGGAGCAGTGTGTTCTGTGAGCATTATGAGAAGCTTAAAAGAGCTTTCTAACAGTGTCCAGGCAGAGAGAGGCTGTTTGGACTGGACACTTGTGCCTTGAGCACTCCTGACCTTGACATGTAACCTGTTAACTTCCCAGCAACCCTAATAAACTCCTGTGTGTGTCTGTGTGGCCACTGCGCACCAAATGATGGAACCCAGGTGAGCAGCGCATGCTCATTTCTACAGAGAAGTCAAGAAAAGTTGGGACATGAGCACACACACAAACCACTTTCTTCTAAAACCACTATTCTGACCATGTCATTTGCATGCTCAAAATTCAAACACTCCCTACTACCTTTAAAACGTCAAATTCTCTGGATCAGCTCAACCCCCGCCTTTCCAGTCTCACTCCTTCTGATCATACTATTACTCTATTTCTTAGAAAAGAATTGCATACCATAATTTTCATTAAGAACGATCACAACAGTTATTACCAAAAAATACAAAATTAAAAGCGGAGTCTTGGTGTGGCGCTGTGGTTAATGTGCTGGACTGCAAGGTCAGTATGAACTGCATGGTCAGCAGGTTCAAGCTCACCAGCCACTCCCTGGAAACCCTATACAGGGTCGCGATGGGTCAGAACCGACTCGATGGCACTTAATAACAACATATAGTAATGCACTTGATGACAACAACATATAATAACCACCATTTCACAACTATGAAGGTAGAGGCTGTGTAACAAAAAGGGGGGAGTAATTTATTTTGCATTCCAGGAACAGAGAAACAGGGACACCAGAGATGGAGGCAGTGGTGATGGCATGGGGGAGATTGAGCAGCTGAGGACCCTAGACTCACGGGAAGAGAAAGGCTGTGTGCTGGCAGCCAGGACACTGGCTGCCAGAATATGCCCTGTGGTTGTTTAAATGATTCTATATCCCTGTGAGGTTTTTTGTTTGTGTTGTTTTTGCACATGAAAGGAAAAAAAAAGAGAAAAGGAGTTTTCTAGATAAAAGACAATCTATGATGGCTTGGGGGGGTAGGAAGAAATGATACATGTGCTACAAGGTACACACGCGGTGACATGCGGGACGGAGCAGACAATGTACACTCGGAGGGAGGCTGGCAGAGGAAAGATGGAAGTGGTGGGAGACTCAGGGTGGCATGCAGTGGTGGAGTGACACAAGTCATTGCTGCTAACTGTTGGCGCATGGTGTTGTATATTAACAGGCTGGTGGTGTATGGCGCATTGCAACCAAAGTATGAAGCAAAGTATATGATTTCTTGAATATAAAACTGATGACGATCTGCTCTGTAAACTTGCACTCAATTCACAATAAAAAGCTAAAAAAAAAAATTAGAAGCAACCTAAAAAGCAAAGGAACACCAGCTAATTATTAACACTCTTGTTGTTCAAGCACATATGGGGATTTGCTCATAGACCTGTTTTTTACATTGAGAATTGTATCTATTTTTAAATATGCTACCAAGAAGTCCAGGTATGGTGATGTGGGTTAATGCGCTGGACTGCAAAGTCACTTTGAACCACAAGGTCGGCAGTTCAAGCTTACCAGTCTCTCCTCAGAAACCCTGTGCAGGGTCACTGTGGGTTGCTACCAACTTGACAGCACTTAACAACAACCAAGAATATATTCTGATCCTATCTAGGGTTTCCAAGGCTGCAAATCTTTATAAGAGCAGAAAACTTCATCTTTCTCCCATGGAGTGACTGCCGGGTTTGAACTGCGAACCTGTGGTTAGCAGTCCAGTACTCATCCTACAGTGCTGCCAGAGTTCTTTATATGTAGCAAAGAGAGAAACAAAAAGGTGAGAAAACACATTATTACTACTAAAAAATCAATACAGCAGTTAAAGTTCTGAAACAACTATTCATCAGTACAAACAAGACACAATAGAGGAACAGTTTTCCCAAATGTTGGCTACAAATAATAATGACAGGATTGGCTATACTGCTACCAAGAGTTCAATGTAACATTTACAGACATTTAAGGAGCTCTGGTAGCACAGTGATTAAGAATCGGGCTGCGGACCACAAGGTCAGCAGTTCAAAACTACCAGCTGTTGTTCCGTGGGAGCAAGAGGAGGCTTTCTGCACTCATAAACCCTGTACAGGGTCCTCACTATGAGTTGGAACCGACTCCATGGCACATAACAACCACCACCAACAACAAGTTACTAAATACATCTTTAATGTTTTTAAAGTAAGGAATACAAAATGTCATTTTAAGAATGTTTTAAGGTATTGCTGAGGAATATAACTATTAATTTACCCCTGCATTAAACCACTGACTTGATAGCGAGATCTTATCTTTAAAGACTACATGTAACTGCAGAGAGATGTGGGATTTTCAAGAAGCACTGTTAGAATTTTACTACTACCAAAACAGTAGTATTTCAAAGCATATATTTGGAAAATTAAATAAATTTCAAAAACCCAATTTCCTTTAAGGGAATTCTGTAGACAATTTTTGATAAATGCTACTAAAATCTTCAATTAGGTGTTACTAGATTTATGCAAGTTCTGAGAAGCATGTCATAATTAACTATTTTTAAGACTCCATAGAAATCCACAAGCTCAAGTAAAACATGCTTAAGCAGTATTTTAAAAATTTTTAATTATAGTATTTAAAATATTTCAAAAATCTTTAGTTTCAGTTTCTCACAATTTAGGTGGCAGTAGTTCACGATGCTCACCAGTCACTCCTTGGAAATCCTCTAAGGGTTGCTATGGGTTGGAACCGACTCGATGGCACTTAACAACAACAACAACAAGTCCATTAAGAGGAGCCCTGGTGTGGCGTGATAGGGTCAGCACTGGACTGCTAATGGCAAGGTCCACAGTTCAAGTCTACCAGCCACTCCTCAGAAATTCTACACAGCATCGCTATGAGTCGGAACCGACTTGACAGCACTTAACAACAGTTCAGAGTGATCAATGTGGAAACCAAACTCCTTAATTCCTTTACATTACCAAAAGTTCATTCCAAATCCAACTTCTTTCCAAATCCTTGGCCAGCCTAATCCAAGTTACCCACCAACTCCTTTCCCATTACCTAACTGAAGTCTCTTTTAGATTTACTCGTTACCTCCTACAAGTCCTTCTCTACACACAGAAAAAGATCGTGTCAAACCAAAGCTTACAATCCTCCCATCCAAGGCAACAGTGCGTAAGCTGCCTGTCACGGCCTACCAGGTGCAGCTCGGCTCTCTCCAGCGGCTGCCATCTCTACCTGTACCGGACCTTCTGCCTCCACACAGCTACTGTGCCCTTTGCCTGAAAGGCCTTCTACTCCCCCACACCCCCAAACTCTCCACAAGACCATCTGCTCTTTTTCTCCGGAAGCAGCAAACAGAAATACAGAATATGTACTGAACTTAGAATTTTAGATACATTTTTTTAGTGGAAGTCCTCTATAATATCTGCCATATTCTTAAATATACAAAGTATCTATCTGATACTCATAACCAGACAGAGAGTCTCCTTTGTCTTAACTCAGCACCTTATTTTCTTCGTAGGACTAGTCAGTCTCTGGAAATCACTGTTTACTCCTCTGGTTTACTCACTCACTGCCCTGTTCTATCCATCTCTATCCTATAATGTGTAGTTCATCACCTCTGCCCCTTTCAATCCCTAGACCATACCTCTACTCCAAAAAAGCTCTGGTAGTGTAGTGGTTACATGTCAGGCTGCTAACCTCAAGGTCAGTAGCTGCTCTACAGGAGAAAGATGAAGCTTTCTGCTCCCATAAAGATTTACAGCCTCGGAAAACCTATGCAGGGTCTCTGTGAGTTGGAACTGACTCCACGGCACACCACCTCTACTCCATGCTACATCTACAAGAATAGGGGCTTTTCTGCTCTTGAAATGCTTTGGCTTTTAAAACAATACTTAGCACAGAGTAAGTGCTGAGAAAAATATCTGTTGAATGATGAAGTCTCTGAATTTACATGCTTTGTAAGGTGTAAGAAGTAGAATAATTCCCTTCTAATTCCACAAGCAATGAAACAATTTTTCAGTCTGGAAGGGAAAGTAATGAAACCATAGATTTCATACAACCCTCTGAACACCACAGTTGACATGATTCTTTTTATCACCACTGATGCAATGCAACAAGACTCACACACAAGAACTTTCCATAACTATCTTTACATGACTACAAATAATTAAGAGTGTAAAGGGTTAATAAAGACAGGCCTAGAGAATCACTTCATAGCTATACAAATCAATGTAAATCCATTTTACCGTCTTAATAGAACTCCTTTGTTTTTCTTCCCAAACACCACTGCTTAACTCAAGTGTGCAATGAATATTTGCCTCTCTGTCATAGGATCCAAAAATGAGTAACCTGCAAGATAAACAGAAAGCAAGGAGGCTATTAATTATGCCATCTAGACACATTAAAAGCTGCTCTCTGGTCCTAATATCAATACTGAGAAGTAATATGTTACTCCATTACTGTTACACAGTTTTGGTAAGCAGGGAAAAAAAAAAAAAATTAAGCCAAACTCTTGGCACACCGTCTAGTGGAAAAGCAAAGTAAAGCTAAAATTAGGCCGTTTTTCAAAAGTTGCTGTTGCTGTTGTTGAGTGCCGTTGAGTCAGTTCCCAATCACAGTGATCTTGGACAGGGTTTCTGAGGAGCAGCTGGTGGGTTTGAACTGCCAATCTTTCAGTTAAGCAGTTCAGTGCTTATCCTACAGTGTATTCCACACCAGGACTTCAGCATCTAAGTCAAATAAATTATATAGCCAGAAACCACTCCATGACAACTAACATTATCTTCTCATCAGGTAAAGAAATTGACCAGATATTTATATAAAGTTACAAGAACTACAGATCTTGAAATTGGACTGTTGGTTTGAAAAAGCTACAGTGATGCACAAGGCATGCATCATCTCTGTAAAATGAAGCCACCGCCCACCAAACAGTACACAGTAACTGCTTATGAATACACTCACATACACAGGTACATGGCAAGAGGATATTAAAAAGAAAACCCCTTGTCTAGTCTAGTATGATGTGGGAAGATTTTCTGGGTCAGAGCACATCACTGATGCAGAGATCATATCATTTCACACTCAGATGTTCATATCAGAGTGAAATTGAATTAATTCAGAGTTGGCAGAATAGCACTGTGGTTAAGAATATATAACGTTTGGTTAAACAGACCTGAATTTGAATCCAAGCTTCTCCGCCAATGAATGCAACCTAAGGCAAATCACTCAATTCCTCTAAACACATCTCTTTCTCTAGAAAACTCGGGGCAAAAACCATATTTACCTCTTAGGGCTTTTGTGAAAATAAAAGAAGACAATATATGTAAGATACATAGCATAACACCTAGCATATACAATAAGTACTCAAAACATGTTATTTCTATTTTCTTAATAGCAATGTCAAGGAACTATAGCATCACCTAAATTTACTGTTTAGTATTCAGATCTAAATAGGAAAATGTAAGTCCAATTCTGAGATGACATAAAGCAATTTTTATTATTGAAGAAAAATTACCATAGGCCATGTATCCAATTTCTATACTACCTGTCTTAAAAAAATAAATAAGTAAATGTGCTTATCTGTTTCAGGAATGAGCTTAAGAGTAGCTTTTTAAAAAAGCAGCATTTTGACTGTAACTCATTATCTTTACATGAAAATCAGAGGGGTAGGAGTAAAGTAATGAAAGAGAAAAAGTAAATAAAGCACATTGGAGCAGTAAGAGCAAACTGTTTCTAAGGTGGGAGAGAATTCCTGAAGGAAATCATTGTGTCCTTACCTCACAAATGGTGATGCTGAATAACCCATGGCAAAAAAATAAAAAATCCCACTAAAATGAAGTAATTCTTAAAAGGAATTTTACACCTAGAGCTAAACAACCTATGATCAAAAATGCTGCTGTTAAATGCTGTCAAGTCAGTTACAACCCATAGAGACCCTGTACAGGGTTTCCAAAGAGCAGTTGGTGAGCTTGAACTGCCAACCTTGCAGTTGGTTTGCAGTTCAAACCAACTTTGCAGTCCAGCACATTAAACCACAGTGCAACACCAGGACTCTGAACAAAAATAAGGCAGGCCAAATACTTTTAAGAAAATTTAAAACGATCACATACTGTTTAGAAAAATGAGGATTTTCACTCTCCATACCTCTGCTGCCACCATGTGTTCAAAAGCATAAACTATCTTAGGGCCTTTACTCCAAAGGACCGACTTGTTGATAATCAGTGCTTTTGAGTTATGGTGTTGGAGGAGACTATTGAAAGTGCCACGGGCTGTCAAAAACAGATCTGTGTTGGAAGATGTGCAGCCAGAGTGCTCCTTGGAGGCTAGGATGGGCCAAACTTCGTCTCTCATACTTCAGACATATTGTCAGGAGGGACCAGTTGCTGGAGAAGGATATCATGTTTGATATGGTGGAGGGTCAGAGAAAAGGAGGAAGACCCCCAGTGAGATGGATTGACAAGGTGGCAGCATTGATGGGCTCCAGTGTGAGGTTGGCTCAGGGCTGGGCAAGTGCTGCGTTCCATTGTGCACAGGGTCGCTATGAGTCAATGGCACTTAACAACAACAAAGTGGAGTCCTAGGAGTCCTGGTGTGGCGCTGGGTGTTAATGCGCCGGGCTGCAAAGCAGTCTGAACTACAAGGTCGGCAGTTCAAGCTTATCAGCGGCTCCTCGGAACCCCTATACAGGGTCGCTATGGGTCGGACTGACTTGATGGCACTTTAACAACAACAGTGGAGTCCTAAGGAGCTCTGGTAGTGTAGTGGTTACGAGTCGGGCTGCTAACCTCAAGGTCAGTAGTTTGAAACTACCAGCTCATGGGAGAGAGATGAGGTTTTCTGCTTGTGTAGAGATTTACAGCCTCGGAAAAAATCCGACGTAGGGTCGCTATGAGTCGGAACTGACTCCACGGCACACCACTATCAGCAGAGTCCTGGTGTGGCGCTGTGGGCTAATGTGTCAGCTACAAGTCATTTGAATTGCTAGGTCGGTGGTTCAAGCTCACCAGCTGGTCCTTGGAAACCCTATACAGAGTCGCTATGGTATACAGGGTCACTATGGGTCAGAACCGACTTGACTCAATGGCACTTAACAACAGTGAAGTCCTGGTGTGGTGCTGGGGGGTAATGAGCTGGACTGCTAAGTCATTTGAACTGCAAAGTCGGCAGTTGAAGCTCACCAGCTGGAAACCCTATACAGGGTTATTAAGGGCCAGAAACAACTAGATTGCACTTAACAACAGTCGGTTTCAACTCATAACTACTTTCTGCAGGGTTTCCAAGGAGTGGCTGATGGGTTTGAACTGCCAACCCTAGTGGTTCCCAGTCAAGTGCTGATCCTACAGCATAAGCACCACAAGGAAAGAAAATTAATAAATTAGATACCATCAAAATTAAAACTTTTATTCTTCAAAGGATTACCTTCAAGACAATTAAAAGATAACTCATAGCATGGGAAAAAGTCTGCAAATAATTCATCTGATTAGGAAACAGTAAAGAACTTTTATAACTCAGTCACAAAAAGACAAGCAACCTAAGTCAAAAATGGACAAAGCATCTGGACAGAAATTTCTCCACAGACGGACAATCGGCCTACGGTATCTGCTCAACAGCATTAGTCGTCGTGCCATTGACTCAGTTCCTACTCGTAAGGGTTTCTGAAGAGTGGTTAGGGGTTCTGAACCAACAACCTTTGTAGCCAGCAGCCTGGTGCTTATCCTACAGTGTCACACCAGGACTCCCATTAGTCATCAGAGAAATGAAAATAAAAACTACAATGAGATAATACTTCACAACCACTAGCCTGACTATAATTAGAAAGACGGACACTAAAAAGCACTGTTATTGATGACTATGCCACTTTGGAAAACAGCTTGGCAGTTCCTTAAAAAGTTAACGACAGAAGTACCAGATGATGCAGCAATTCTACTTCTAGGCATGTAAACACGAGAAATGCAACACACTGCAATGCTGTGCATTATCCCATGTCTGTTCTAGCCACAGTCTTCGTAAACTCCCACCAAACAACATTTTTGCCCTGAAGGTAAGAGGTAGAAGAAGATACTGACAGGCTTCATGTGTGAGTGGCTAACAGGATTTAACTGTGATTGCAAAAACCTGGAACTCTAACGTGTACAAAATAAGCTATCTCAGAAGCAAGAGCGGCTGTCTCACTGCCTTCACAGAAGAAGAGCCAAGGGCAGTGCCTGTCCTTTGGAGCCAGAAATCCTTACACCCTGAGCCTTCTGGACCTACAGACAGTCAGCTGGAAAGGTGGCAGATCTGCAGCAGCAACAAAACCAAAAACCAGAGCACAAGACCTTGCAGTGGCCTTCCCACCCCACAGAGCAAGTAAAGTTGAGTGACTTTGGAAGACTGCTTACCTGCAGAGTGGGGTGCCTTCAGGCACGTAATTGGGGGCCTTCTGGCTGTGGCTTATGGTGGAGTAATGTGTTCTGTGAGCATTTCTCAGCAGCCCTAAAAGAGCTTTGTGACACTGGCTGGGCATAGAGAAAGAAGCCTGCCTGTGGACACAGCTGAGGAGAGGTGTTCAGACTGGGACAACAGTGCCCCGAACATTTCTTACCCTCAACTGTTAACTAACTGAAGAAGGCTTAGTATGGGGACTGAGTTCTGTGTGGCCAATGCCATGAATTACCGAGCCCAGATGAGGAAGAGAGGGCTGTGGTGAAGGACTGTTGATGCCATAGTTTTTGTACATACTTTCAAATTTATGCTGTTAAGATGGATGAATCATGAAATCATTATGCTAAGTCAAAGCAGCCAGAAACCAAAGACCACATATTTTAGGATCCCATTTATATAAAGGATCCAGACTAGGTAAGTGCACAGACAGAAACATGAGTGGTTGTCAGAGGCTGGGAGGTGGGACAATGGAGACTGACTTGCTTCCAGGTACAGGGTTTCGTTTTGAGACGATGTAAATGTTCTGAAAGTAGATTGTGATGATGGATGCACAACTTTGTAAATACACAAATAACCACTGAGCTCAACACTTTCTAAACTGGTAAATTTTATCATCTCTCAACTAAAAACCAATTATCTACCTCTCCACATCAATTATGGAGCTCTGGGAGTGTAGTGGTTACGAATCGGCCTCAGGGTCAGCAGTTCGAAACTACCAGCTGTTCCGTGGGAGAAAAGCGGTAGCATAGCAGTTAATAAGTGAGTCAGGCTGCTAACCTCAAGATCAACAGTTCAAAACTACCAGCCGTTCTACAAAAGAAAGACGAGGCTTTCTGCTCCCGTAAAGATTTACAGCCTCAGAAACCCTGTACAGGGTCGCTATGGGTCGGAACTGACTCCACGGCACATGACAACACCACCACCAA